GTTGGAGGAGAATATTGAAAGTACCATGGGCTGCCAAAACAACCAACAGATATGTGTTGGAAGAAGTTCAGCCAGAGTGCCCCTTGGAGGCTAGTATGGTCAAACTTCATCTGTCATACTTTGGACATGTTGTCAGAGGGACCATTCGCTGGAGAAGGATATCGTGTTCGTTAGGGTGGGGGGTCAGAGAAAAACAGAAAGACCCTTAGTGAGATGGATTGGCAAAGTGGCAGCTTCAATGGGCTCAAGTGTGGCAACAATTGTGAGGTTGGCCGAGGACCGGGCAGTGATTTGTTGTGTTGTGTATAGGGTCACTCTGAGTCGGTACCCACTCGAAGGCACCTAACAACGAACAACAACAACAACAAATATTCAATACACAGATATCAGAGTACCCTCACACAAGCTGCTCTGGCTCCCCCTTTAGTGCCTGGAGTCTCAGGGTTTGCAAACTTATACCTGTATTTGACTGCTTGTGGGCACCCAGTACTGTCTAAGCACCCTGGGGAATCTGGTCAAAACTAGGAGCCCAAAGGACTGAGTCGAGCAGCCAAACCTCACTGTGGCTTGGACATTGTGGCTGAATGTGCTCAGCTGAGGAAGCCGAGCTGCTGTGTGGTCACTGCAAACTTGATGCTCCTTCCACATCCTGGTGCCCTCATAAGCAAGCCCCTCCCCCTGCCCCATAGACATATATGAGGTCATTTCATGAGCTGACCTTACGCAGTATGTATATACACACACACACACACACACACACACACACATGTTGTTAAGTGCTGTTGAGTCAGTTGTCACTCATAGTGACTCTGATTAGGGTTTATGAGGAATGGCTGGTGAGTTTGAACCATTGCGACCTTGTGGTCCAGTGCATATCTTGTAGCGCTGCACTGGGACTCCATATGAACACACACACATATATACATACACCCTCCCAAACATTTCAGGGTAAGGTAGCATATGTTATGATCCTTTACCCCTTTACATAGCATATGTTATGATCCTTTACTACTTCAGTGTCAATTTCCTAAAATAGGGATCTTTTCTTATACAACCACAGTACAGTTATCAACTCAGTATATTTAACATTGATAGAATAATTTGCCATTTGTATTTTATCTTTTGGCCCAGTAGAATTTATGACATTGCCCTGCCAGTACTGGATCTAGTGTATAGTCCGACATGACATTTCATTGTGACTGCTCTTCAGCCTCCTCTAATCTGGACCAATTTCACAGCCATGGTTTTTTATGACAATGAAATTTAGATTTAATGCAGGTTATTTCTTCCATCCCCCTCGTTCTTAAAAATAGGACATCCCTCATTTTGGATTTTTCGTGTTTCCTTGTGATTAGTTTCAGGTTATACACTTTAGACAGGAATACTGAATAGACAATGCTGTGTCCTTCTAGGTGTCACATCAGAAAACATACAATGTTCATTTGCCCCTCAGTAGTGATTTTGATCAGTTGGTGGGCCAGTTTCTCCACTGTATAATTAATATTCTTTTTCTACCTTGCTACTAATAAGAAGCCTTTGGGGAGACACTTTAAGAATGTGCAAATATGCTAAGCCTCATTAAAATTTTATTCTAGACTTAGCATCCACTACTTAATCTTTACTATCTTGTAGTTATTGTTAGATGCTGTTGAATCAGTTCTGATTCTTAGCAGCCCTGTATACAACAGAACTAAATGCTGCCTGGCCCTGAACCATTCTCACAACTGTTGTTACGCTTCAGCCCATTGCTGCTGCCACTGTGTCAATCCATCTTGTTGGGGGGCTTCCTCTTTTTTGTTAACCCTCCTCTTTACCAAGCATGATGTCTTTCTGGCACTGGTCCTGCCTGACAATATGTCCAAAGTACGAGATGAAGTTTTGAGTCTTCCAAGAGACATTCTGGCTGTATTTTTTCCAAGACAAGTTTGTTCTTTTGGCAGTCCATGACTTTCAGTATTTTTCACCAACACCGTAATTCAAATGCATCAATTCTTCTCTGGTCTTGCTTATTCATTGTCTAACTTTCACATGCTTATGAGGCAATTGAAAATACCATGGCTTGGGTCAGGTATCCTCAAACTGACTTCTTTGCAAGTTTAGTACTTTAAACTTTGCCTAATGTAGTTTGTCATTTGATTTTTTGACTGCTGCTTTTATGAGCATTGACTGTGGATCCAAGCAAAAATAAATATTTGGCAACTTCAGTCTTTTATTTGTTTATTATGCCATTTATTGGTTCAATTTGTGAAGATTTTCATTTTCTTTACATTGAGGTACAATCCATACAGAGGCTATAGTCTTTAATCTTCATCAGTTAGTATTTCAAGTTCTCTTTGCTTCCAGCAAATAAGGTTATGTCATCTGCATATCACAGGTTGTTAATGAATCTTCCTCCAATCCTGGATTATGTTCTTCTTTACATAATCCAGTTTCTTGGATTATTTGCTCGGTATATAGATTGAATAAGTATGCTGAAAAGATATAACCCTGGTGCATATGTTTCCTGACTTACAACCATTCAGTATCCCCTTGTTCTTTTCTAACAGCTACCTTTTGGTCTATATCCAGGTTTCTCATGAGCACAATTAAATATGCTGGAATACCCATTCTTTGCAATGCTATATATAGTTTGTCATGATTTAAAAAGTTGAAAGTGTTTGCATAGTCAGTAAAACACAAGTAAACATTTTGGTGGTATTTTCTGCTTTCACCTAAGGTTAATCTGACATCAACAATGATTTCCATTGTTTCAAATCCTCTTCTGAATGCAGCTTGAATTTCTGACAGTTCCCCATCAATGTACTGTTGAAATGCTTCTGAATTATCCTCAGCAAAATTTTGCTTGCAAGTGATATTAAAGATATTATTCGATGATTTCTGCATTCCATTGGGTTGCCTCTCTTTGGAATGGGCACAAATATAGATCTCTTCTTATTGGTTGACTAGGTAGCTGTCTTCCAAATTTCTTGGCATAGATGAGTGAGTGCCTAGTGCTGCATCAGTTTGTTGAAATGTTTCAGTTTGTATTTCATCAATTTCTGCAGCCTTGTTTTTTTCTGGTACATGATGCTGTGTATTCCTTCCATCTTCTTCTGATGCATCCGGAGTCATTCAATATTTAGCTCATAGAGTCCTTCAATATTGCAACCTGAGGCTTGAATTTTTTCCTTCAGGTCATATGCCTTCAGAAT